CCTACTTTATTCCTTTAACTCTGTCCAGCCTCTGTTCTAGGGAGCCTCGCACAGCATCACCCTGTGGGGCTGAATCGCTGCCACAGGAGCAATCCCACTGCACTCACCTTTATCCTCCACTTTGAAATCCGAGGGGAGGAGGTTGTCTTGCCGGTTGCCCAGCACGAAGGCCAGGAAGGAAAGGATGAGAGCATCAAGGATGCCGATGATGCACAGGATGTAGGCCCAGCGCACGGTGCAGGCACCCAGCGTGTATTTGTCGGTTTTGTCCCCACACATTCGCTTCACCTCGCTTGAGTCCCAGCCATCAGGGTAGATCAGGCAGCCAATCATCAGCCCTGTAGCTGCAGGGACAGGGGGACATCAGTGCTCCTGAGCTGATGATGGTGCATCAGATTTAATTTTTTATGTTTTTTACATAACTTTATAGTTTTGTAGATTGCTGTAGCTTCCAGTGTTTTTCCCATCTTTCTTCCCTAATAAGCTAACCTTATGAAGACATTCCTAAATATTGTTTAGTCTTAGTCTAAGAAGAGAACCAGCTTCAAGAACGTTCCGTTTTCCAACCGGAATCTGGACCAGACATTACAAAAGTGGGGCAAGAGAAACCTCTGGACTGTTTCCAGAGGGTCTGGACCCAAGGGATTATTACCTAACCAACTAACCTTTTAACTGGACAGTGTAGGATAAGTGTACTAATCTATTAACCTTATAAAAATTGTAGAATTACTATACCATGTGTATTTTTCGCCATGTTGTTCATCTGAAAGCTTTCAGCTAAAGGTTTGCTTTTATATTCACTCCAATTGAAAAGATGTATTCTATTTTCCAGGCATCAATACTGAAGTGGACAGAGCAGCTGGAGGACCAAGCATCTTGCTATGAATACATCAAGTATTATGGACTTGTCCCATGAAAGGTACTGTGCTTGCTCATCCTTGTGGACTCTGCTCCACAGGCAGGGAGGAGCAGGATCCTGCTGTGCTGCCTTCCCACGAATCAAGGACTGCTGTACCAGCATCTCCTGCTGCAGTGTTGCCCAGGCAACGTCTCTGCTCCCTCTGCACAGAGCCCTGGCCATGTCACTCCAAGGAAATATCTTCTCCAAACAAAACTGCAATGGGTTTAGTCTGTGTGAGATGGAGACCCTGGCCTAGCACCTGGCAGTTGATTCCAATTTAGGGTTTGCTAAGGTGGAGCTGTCAGCAGCTTTGTGGGCAGATTAATTCTGCTTGTTCAGCTGTGGTGGTTCCAGCAGCAGCTCCTCCTGTGACTGCTCTCAGAGCTCACACACAGCCTTGGGAGCTGCTCCAGCCTGGCCACGGGGTACTCAGCACCTCACCTTTGCAGCTTCGCAGTGACAGTTTCACCATCCCTGGTGCCAGCAGGTTGCGGAAGGGCAGCTCATACCCCAAAATCTCAGAAGTGCCTTTTTCCCTCTCTGAGAAATTGTATTTACTGGACAAGAATAATGACCAAGCTTGGGATGAGTTCATATGCAAGGTTTTGGGACATGATTAACAAAAATTAACAAAAATCCTTCACACTCTTACACTGCAAGCAACTGGTGCAGATGTGAGGCAGTCCCTGCCTCCTCTCACACAAGAAACAACCCTGGGGTAGACTGGTAGATGTTTGTCCCTGCCCCTCGTGGACATCTGCAGCCTTCTTAAATGCACCTCACCCCACACCAGTGCCCCTTCTCTGCCACCAGGTGCTCAGTAAACCAGAACCCCCTTCTGGGGCAGTGACCTTGTCCTTTGCCAATGTTTTCTTTCTCCTTGGCTTGGGGACAAGCCAGCAGCAAGGCGAGCAAGCAGCCTCCTTGTCCTGCAGAGGATTTCTCTTCATGGAAAAGCACTTGGTAAACTACATACAGAATAAATCTTCCCTGTAACTAACAAAAATGGGGAAAGTGGGAAAGAAATAATTTCTGTGAAATTGTGCCCTAGTACAGAGCAGAGGCTAGGAAATGGATCCTCTTTTAGCCTGCCCACTTTTAAAAATAATTCCTAAAATGCAGCAGTACCTGTCCATCTGGCCAGAACTGCCCGTGACAATTTTTTCTTCCCCCATTCAAAACAACAACAACAAAGTAAAAACCCCAACTACCCCAGAAAAGCCTTTCTCTGCTGCTGCTCCCCAGGAGGCTGAGCTTCCCCAAGCTTCTTATCTAAATCTTTGCTTGAGCTTGATTCTTTAGCTGGGAACTGAAGAAACCCTGCTGCTGCCTCCCACGGGGTATCAGTGGGGCCGTGGCCAAGCTCACATGAATGATTCAGGTGCAGCTTGGGTTTCAGCTGAGGATCAGGAGCTGCGTTACCAGGTGGTTCAGGTGCCTTGGGAGAGAGATGGGGGAGGCTTGAGAACCACAGGGATGAGCAGCAAAGTGAGCAAATGCAAGTGCTGGTAGCAAGCCATTCAGTCAGTCCCCTCCTCGTGTTTCATCTTCCTCATGCATTATTCCCTGAGCTCAGCAAACAACGGCCCAGCAAACGTCATCACTGTCCCGTTGCTTCATTCCTGCAGGATCCCAAATGCAGGAGAGCCCTCTGTGCCCTGCGGGGGTTTCTTGGTGCTCTCGAACTGATCTGAAGCCTCCCTGTGGCTGAGCAGGAGCAGTGGTGCTGGGAGAAGCCCCCCCAGGTAAGTGGGGCCACAAAGTTTTGCAGCAGCACCCGGGGAAGCATCACCTGCGGTGAGTCTGCTGTGTCTCAGCTGCTCTAGAAGGAGTTTTTTACTCAAAACTTCCCACTGGTAACCAGTAAGGGGCAGCAAATGGCATGGAGGTGACACTGGGGTCTCTTAACTGGCCAAACCCCCGCTCCCCATCCCCAGCAGAGTCGAGGGCAGAAAGAGAAAAGAGGGGGCCCATGGCAGCCCCCCGCTCCCGTGCATCCTCCCAGCCCTGCTCACCCGCTGCCAGCTGCATCCAGGCACAGACTTTGTAGACGGTGGCTGCGTTGCAGAAGAAGAAGAGGCTGAAGCAGAGGATGGTGCCGATGATAAGGAAGGTGGAGATGCCTACGAAGAACATCGCAGTTTTGAAGGCACTGGAGGGGATGGTGCCGAAGTCCAGGGGGCTGCCCTTGCAGATGAGCTCACCGGTGAGCGCGTTGCCGATGCAATAGGAGAAGAGGCCGAAGTATCCGGCCTGAGGCGTGTCGATGCTGTCACCGATCCAGTAGGGCTGGATGAAGGTCACCACCATGAGGATGGAGAAGCAGAGCGTGAAGAGGGCCCAGAGCACTCCCATGGCCCGCGCATTCCGCACATAGTTGGTGTGGTAGATCCGGGCCGCCTCCTGCGCCGGCAGCAGCTTGGACATGGCGGGGGCCCCGGCGGGGGCCCCGGCTCCGGCCCCGGCCCCGGCTCCGCCCGGCGGCCGCGGGGGCGGTGGGAAGCTCCTGCTCCGGCAGCGGTGGGACCGCCCCGGGGGGCGGTGGCGAGACCTCCTCCCACCCTCGCCGAGCCTGGGGGGCTCGGGAGGAGCCGCAGCGACTCCGCTCCCGAAGCCGGGGAAGGCGGAGCCTTTCGGGATGTGCTCCGGGGATGCTGTGAAGGAGCCCTGAGGATGTGCCCTGTGTGCTGGGATGCTCTCTGGGGATGCGCCCTTCGCCTCCTTCGTGTGCCCTGGGATAATCCAAATATCCCCAAAGTGGACCCCAGGGTGTGTCCTGGGATGCCCCCTGTGGCCCTGGAGTGCCCCTGTGCCCTGCGATGCGCTCAGGGCTGCTCTGTGTCCCCTCTGTGCCCCCAGTAATGCCCTGGGCTGTGTCAGGATGTGCCTGGGCTGCACCGTGCACCTCTGGGTGTGTCCCAGGATGTGCCACATGTTCCGGGATGCGTGTTGGGATGAGACCCGGGGTGTGTCTTGACCCCCAGCGTGTGCCCCAGAATATGCATGGGGCTGTGCCATGACCCCCAGGATCTCACTGGGCTCTGCCGTGTCCCAAATTCTGTGTCCCCTCAGCCGGTGTCACAGGGTCTTCCCACACTGGTAGGGAGCACAAAGGCTGCTTCATCGTTGGGGTGGGGGCTGCGGGCAAGGAGGGAACATCCCCACAGAATGCAGAGGGGGAAATGGCTCATCCTGCCAGCAGGACACACCGGGGCTGCACCAGCTCTCTGCCCAAACCTCGTATCCTGCTGCAAGAGGAGCATGGGCAGCCCCAGAGGGCTGCAAGCACTTGTGACCACCTTGGGACCTCTCTTCAGGAGCCACATCTGCCCTGCATCCTGAGTGACCACACAAGTTCAGCTCCTGTCGTGGCGCCCCGTGACAGTGTGACAGTCACCCCACAGCTGGTGTCAGCCTCAGCATCACTCCTGTGGCTGTCACAGGCCAGGGCTGTGTGGCCATTAATCATCTCCAAGAACAGCCAAGCCACTGTGGGCATGAAAAGCTGTGCCGTTCCCAGGGCTGCTCTCCTTTCATCAGCCCCACCCCACAAGCACTGAAACACAGAGCAAATATTTGGCAGGGCAGGCTGAATGCTGGACCTTGGTGGGCTCTGGATCCTTGCAGGGGGCTGTGCTATCCTGCACAATATGAACTTTCTCCAGCGGGTTTCTTGGTGCCTGTGATTCCATTTGAGAGATGGAGGATCCTGTGGCTTTCCCATGGAGCAGAGCTCCTGTCGTGTCACCAGCCCTCACTTTGCCCATGAACCATCAGCAGCATCCAGCAAGGAGAGCATTCCAGAGAGCTCCAGCTCCACTGCTGCCATGGGGAAGCAGAGGAGGAAGGACTAGAAGCACAGAAATGTCATTATTTTTTGTTCCCTTGGCCAAAAGAGCTACTAAAGGGCAGGTAGTGGGGGGAAGTCACCTGGGAACAGGACCTGGTGCCCAGGTATTGCTGTTTCCTTGCCCTGGGCAGTGCAGCAGTGCCCCAGTGCCACGAGCTGAGGTGTGATAGGAGCAGCCCTGTCAGCTGATGGAGACAGCAGCTATAAAACACCTGCTGGCCCTGTGGCAGAGACACAAATAAGCCCACCATGGCCAAGGTGCTGCCTGCCTGCCTGCTCGTGGCTCTGCTGCTCCTGACCCCAGCCCTGTCGGCACAGCACGAGCGAGGGCTCATCTTCAACTTGGTAAGAGGAGACCGGCCCCATCCTTGGTGCAGGATGCTCCCCACTGCTGCAAGGGACAAGCATGGAGGGTTGGAGGCATCTGCTGGGTTTTCTGGTGTTGTGAGGGAACTTGGAGCTTGGGAAATCAGCTCCATAAAGGGATAGGGAGCACAGAAAGTAGATCAGACTGAAGCTCTCAGCTGCCTGAGCCAGCCAGGACCCCCACCCTGGGTGGTTCTCAGGGACTGGGGAGGGCAAATGCTTCCCCTGTGGTGTCTCAGCCCTACTCCCGTGAGTCCAGCAAAAACCACTTTGGTGGGTGATATTTTGGGCAAGACGGAGGAAATGCTGCAGAGTGGGAGGTTGGGGGGTGGGGCCGAGCCTCAGCCCAAAGGCAAAGCACTTCAACACCCACCCAAATGCCTTGGGCTCACAGCTTGGGTGAGATCAAAGGGGAACAAAGAGGGACCTGGTGTTCAGGCCCTGCCTTGTGCTGCAGGAGATCGGGGAGCTGTGCCTGCAGAGTGCCCAGTGCAAGAGCGGCTGCTGCCACCGGATCAATGGCCTCAGCTTGGCCCGATGCGCTTCGAAGGCAGCTGAGTCCCAGGAGTGCTCCCCAAAGGTAGGTGCTCCCCTGCTCCCAGGGCTGGGCAGAGATGGGGCACATCCCCCACGCTGCACTGGGTCCTTGTTTCCTGCAGAGCATATATGGGGTCTACTACAAGTGTCCCTGCGAGAGAGGCTTGACCTGTGACGCTGATAAAACCATTGTGGGCTCCATCACCAACAGCGACTTCGGTGTCTGCAAGGACCCCCAGGACTCCTACAAGCGGCGGTGAAGAAAGAGGCCCCCCTGTGCTGCCCCTGCAACCCCATCTTTCCCCCTCTCCAGGGATTCCTGGGTCTGGTTGTGGGAGAATTTGAGTAAAAAGCAGCTTCTGCCAAGCTGCAGGGTGGTGTTTTCACTCAACCCAGCCCCCTGGCCCAGGAAAGGGACAGCAGGGCCAAAAGGTCCTGGAAAAAAGCCACATGGACATGATGGCTTTACCTGGATGTGTGTGCAATCATGCATAATCTGGGCTAGGCCAGCAGCAAGCCGTGGGCTGAGCTCTGCTCAAGGGGAGTTTTAAAAAGGGGATGCAGGGCAGGAGAAGATGCAGCAGCCTCAGGATCTGAGGGAGCTGCTTGGGTTGTGATTGCCTTGCTTTATTTCCTGCTGTGGTTGCTCTGGCAGAAAACATTCCATAGAAAAGGTTTGTTGCCAGAGAAGAGGGACTTGCAGGCGGTGTTGAAGCTGTGGCTGCTCAGGGTGCTTGCTGGTTGTGTCCACCCCCATACAGCCCCTCTGCAGGCTCTGGATGACCAGAGCTGGACTTCTTCCTCAGGAAGGGCAGATGAGGCTCAGCCAGGTGGGAGCCCTCCCTGGAAAGGACGTTGTGCAGCAGCAACTCTGTGTGCCATGGAGCCCCTTGTGCAGCATCTTGTAGAGCTCCTGCTCAGGCTGCAGGATGTGCTGAAGCATTGGGAATTCAAGATGGACCTGGAGAGTGATGGTGCTGAAGCAGCTCCAGCTGGCAGCAAGGTCCCAATCCCCTGAGCCCTGCCCTGGACAGGGTGGGCTGCAGGGTGTGATGCCCAGCCCAGGGTCAGCGTTTTGGGCATGGGGAAGGAGCACAGCTGTACCATAGCAGGGTAAGGAAGAGGAGGCACCTGTCTGGCAGAGCTGTGGAAGAAGCAGGAGATGAGGGGATCATCAGAGAGGGTGTTCTTGGCTTCTCCAATGCAGACTTCACCCCATGTTTTTCTGTCCTTGGGGCAGAGCAAGAACCAGGCAGCCACAGCACCAGTCCCCACTGCCCTGAGGGCTCTGTGCCAGGTGGGAAGGCCACAAAGGCTGGGGACAAGCCCTGGCAGCTGAGGAGGTGCTGCAGGAAACTTTCTTTTCAGGACAAGGGTGACTGGCAGCTTGAGAATCTGCACCTGCAGAAACACCAGGGACACACCTGGGAGGGTGGCACAGCTTGGGAGAGTCCCCATTGTTGAAGGGGAACATGGGGGGCAATGTGAGGACCTGCTGGCCCCTGCCAGTCTGGCTCAGAAGAGCTGCAAGGGGAGAAAATTCTGACCTGGATTTTAGTTTTAAACTTGTGGCAGGTGGTGAAGGTCTGGAGGGTCTTGTTCTCATTGTCATGGTGGTCCTGGCAAGAGGCCACCAGACCGATGTCCTCAGTGGTGCAGGATGAGATGTGGGGTCAGGAGACAGGGATGGGGAGAGCAGCCCCTCTCCTGCAGCAGCCAGCCAGCCCCAGGCAGAGCGAGGAGAGTGGGACAGAGACTCGGGGTCCCTCCCTGGACTCTCCCTCTGTGCGGCATCCTCAGCCCCGCATGCTGTCCCACACCAGTGGCAGCACCCCGGAGAGGCTGGCATTTCCTGGGACACACACCGGGGCCCGGTGGAGCCCTGCCTACCCAGGGGCTTTGTGCTCATGGCAGGGACACGATGAGCAGCACCCAGCCCTGGCTGGACCGGGACCGGCAGAGGGCAGCGGCACCGTGCCCACAGCCCGGGGAACCCGGCCCGGCAGGGACCCCCCAACCCAGGGGCAGCGCAGCCTTGGGGGTCCCTGAAATGCCCCCAGCTCTGACACTCCATGAGTCCTGCAGTGGGGGACCTCCTAGAAAGAGGGGGAGTGATGTTTGGGGAGGGAGGGGCAGGCAGGGCTAATCTCTGATGTGCTTGATGGGGGGATTTTGTGGGGTCCCCGTTTTTGTGGTGTCCCTCCGCTCGAGGGAGCACCAGAGAGGTGGGAAGGGGGTGGCTGTGCTGAGCTGGGGGACGCATAAATCCCCTCCCCCCCCCCGCCCCCCGCCCCATCTCAGCCCTATATTTACTGATGAAGCCGCAGCTTTATTTTGGCAGCACTCGGCTGGTAAATGTTGGCTTAAACCGAAAACCAGACGCCTGACTCACGGCGTCTTAACAAACACAGGAAGGGGCCCCTGGCGCGTGTGGGGTGCTGCCAGCCCCGGGGACAGGGGGACCCTCTAGCTGGGTGGGGGCAACCTCAGCTGCAAAGCTCGGTGTGAGCAGGGCATCCTTGTGCAGTCAGGTTTTGCTGCAGCGAGGTTCCCTGGGTGGGGGACGGGGGAAGGAGGGGTACAAGCATTGGGGTGCCCCTTCCTCCTTCCCTGCCCTGCGCGGGGGTCTCCCTGCTTGGTGACAAAGCAGCGAGGAATATGAGGCTGAAGGGGCACTGGGGCGGACGGCAGCCCGAGACCCTCCCCAGCCTCACCCCATCCGCGGGTTTGCCCCCCACTGTCCAAGCCCATCCCCTCCGGGTGAGCCAAGGGGTGCCCCACTTAGCAGGGCGGTATGTGACACATCCCCCTACCCGCCCTGGCCGCTGTTACCCGAGGGTACAGGATGTTCTCACTCCGCCGAGCTCCCGCTCCCCAACTTCTCCCCACTTTCTGCCAGCCCTCGGCCTTCACCTCTCCTCCTCTGCACTGCTATAACCCTTTGTTTTTGCCCCAAAACACCGCCTTTTCCTCTTATTCTTTTTCTCCTTCATGATTTCTTTTTAATTTCTGCTCAGATGCGCTGAAACTCCCCCTCTGCCCATTCCAGGGCATCCCTGCACCCCCAAGTCGCTGCAGCTCTAGTGGGGTGCCCACCCAACGCCCAACTTTGCAGACACCCCTAGCAAAGTCACCCCACTCCCAGCCTTGCAAAACACTCCAATGAAAAAGTGTGTGTGTGTCTGGGGGAGGGTGTTGGGTGTTTGCTCACCCCGGGGGCACAGAGGCTGCCAGCCCCAGCCCCAGGAGGGGGGAGTGTGTTTTTTGGGGGGAGCTGAGCTGCCCCTGGCCCCCAGCTGGAAGGAACAGACAGCAGCCCTGCAGCTCCAGCTTAGAGCAGTGATTCTGGGGGACAGAAGACCCCAGGCACAACCTAATTCCATGTCCCCACAGGCAGCACACCCCAATTTACTGTTGAGGCGCTCCTGGGATTTGGGTTGAGGGGCACAGGGGATGCTTTGGGGCAGTCCTGGACTGCTTATGCCTGAGGGGTTGCCCAGAGACATCTGGGAGTGCACAGAGGTGTTTGGGGGTGCACAGAGGTGTTTTGGGGTGCACAGAGGCACCTGGGGCTCCCTGCCTAAGCCTTTACCCCCGGTGGTGCTCAGGACATGGCAAAGCCATGGCTGGTGCAGCCCGGGAGGGCAGTAGCCCCTCTCAGGGTGTCCCTTGGCCACAGCAGGATCCAGAGGGATGAAGCACATCCTTGCACGGTGTGGGACACCCCAGCCAGCACCAGCGAGTCAGGGAATCCCAAATCCTCGGGGAGATGCCCCAGTCTGCCCCCAGCACCCTCTGCTGGCCTGGGACACACCAAGCTGTGCCTGCAGCAGCAAAACCTCCGTGGCAGCTCCAAGTTATGGGGCACAAGGGGGTGCAGACCCCAGGGATGTGGGTGCCTGATCCCGTGACTTGGGGCTTTCCTAAATCTGGGCCAGCTTTTCACTGTCCCAGGCTGACGGCTTTGCCTTTGCCTGTGACAGGGGGAACAATGTCAGACATGGTCCTGTTCTCCCACTCTGATTTTTTTCCTCCTGAAATTGGAAGAGGGGAAGGATCCGACTGAAGGACAGGGACCTGTCCTAGGCAAATATCAGCTCCAGGGGCTCCCAAACCTGGCATGAAGATCTCAGTCTTTCCATCCTCAGAGTTGGCTTTGGGGCTTTGGGGTCTCCTGCAGATGTCCCCCCAGAGCTGCCGAGGGCTGAGGACTGCCCAGCTCAGGGCAGTAGTGGAGGTTGCAAGTGGGACATGGGGATGCAGAAGTGGGGGGACATCCAGGCACCCCACACACCTCCACAAGCCACCCCTCATGTTGTCCACCAGGGCTCAGGTGGAAAAAATCCTCATCCTGAATAATTCGTGGTGCTGGAAGTAGTGCAATACAGGGAGGTGGGGAGAGCAAGGAGAGGTGATCTTGGGCTGCACCAGTCCGGGCTGAGCTCGAGGCTGGGTGATTTGGAGCAGCCAGTTTGGGGGGAAAGTGCTCCCTGCAGCTGGGCTCCCCCTCCGTGGGTAATTTTAGCATTAAATTCCCTGAAATGCTGGCGAGCTGGGATGGGGGAGCAAACCGAGGGTGAGGAGGGGAGGATTTTGGGAGAACTCTCCACGACATTGATGGGGATTCACTCTGGGGATGCTGAAAGGGTGATGCTGGGGGGCGTGCAGGGGTTGAAGCCAGGGGAATGAGGGGGCGATATTGGCAGGGATGTCGGGGGGGACATGGGGAGAGCAGGGGGTGGGGGGGATATTGGAGATTGGGGGGATTGGAGAGGGATGACAGGGGGGTCCTGGGAGTTGCCGAGGGGAACACTGGGGGGATGCCGGGGGGGATATTTGGGATGCTGAGGGGGATACTGGCGGGTTGCCAGGTGGGAGGTGGTGCTGAGGGGCCGCACCGGACCCCACCAACCAGGAGCCCCGAGGGGGCCCTGGCGCTCAGCGGGCCCGGGTGGCCCTGGCCGGGTGCCCCCCCGGCGGCCGGCGCTGAGTCAGGCTGTTCCCGGCCGGTACATCGCGTCCCCAGGCCGGGCGCCTGGCACCGCGCCCGCCCGGTGCTGCTCCCGGCAGGGGCACGGCCCGGCCCGGCCCCGGCGGCTCCTCCGGCCTCCTGTGGCTGCGGCTCCCGGCATGGACAAGCTGAGACCGGGTCCGAAGCCCCGGGAGCTGCCAGCCGGGCTTCGCGGGGCGCAGCCGTAGCGCTGGTCTGAATCACGCTGTGTGCCCATCCCCGCCGGGTGTGCCTCTGACCCGGGGCTCTCCTCTCTCTCCCGGAGAGGGGAGGGGATCTCCAGCAGTTTTTGCGTCTCAGATCCGTCTGGCAGGAGCATCTCCACGACACAGTTGAGTTTCCTCGGGAGGATCGATCCCCCCGTCACCCCCGCGCCCAGCCCAGGGCAGAGGTGCCAGCTCGCACCCCCATCCTGACAGCCCCGCTGGAGCGGGCGCGGAGCCCCAGCCTCCCCCAGCCATCCGCCCACCCGGCAGAGGCTGGTACAGTTCGTTACGTCCAGACCGGAATGTACTTTGTGTTACAAGTGGCCACAAGCCAGGACGGCAAAGCCGGGCTTTATTTATCCTCCCTGCTCCCGCCCCGCTGCTGCATCCTGCCCTTACTCGTGTGGGGCTGGATCTCCGGCATGGCTGGGGGAGCCCTGGGCTCTGTCCACCTCTCTGCTGCTCATTGCCAGCCAGGGAAGGCAGCGATTTTCCCCGTTTCCTCAGAAGATAAATAATCTGGGAAAATATTTGTGTCCTTTCATGTGGTAAAAGCCGTCCCCGGTGTCTGGAAGGAAGCGGCATGAGCAAGATGGGAACTCGGGAGTGGATCTAGGCCCAGTGAAGCCTCTGGAGGGAGATGCCCCTGTCTGCTGGCTTGGGGCGGGGGACAGTTTGCAACATTTTTTGGGTCACAATCTGGTAATTTATGGATTGGAAATGCACTTGGAAAGATGCAGCTCTGGCCACACTGCAGGATAGAGCAGGATCAGTCCTGTGACAGAACAGGAACTTCTCTGGGGGTCCCCACATGTGTGGGGGATGCATTGGCCCCTCTGCTGTTAAAGGGTCACAATGGGAGCCATGAGTCCAGGCAGAGAGGGGAAGGCTGTGGCAGCCCCGGGGGGGATCAGAGGGATTGCCCCAGGCTGGGTCTGGCCCATCATTCCACGAGTCCAGCATCCCTCCCAAGGGCCTTCCTGGGAGTTTCATACAGAAAGCGCCTTCCCAGCAGCTCTGCATCCCGGGGTTCGAGTGTCCTCACGCCAAGCAAGTGCTCCTGCCCTCCTGCCCCATCCCCCCAGGTCCCCATGTCCCCACGGTCCGTCCGTCCTGCTGGCAGTTCAGCTGCACCTACAGCCAGTGGCAAAGACACGGTGTTCTCCTGTACTCTGTTGTGCAAGCCCTGGCTGCACCTCCCGTAAACACAAAGCTTCCCACGACCAAGGCACCGGCTCCTGCCATGCTGCACCCCCGGTGCCAGCGGCGAACGGGGCCCTCGGAGGGGTGTGCACGCCTCGGGGTGAGGGTGGGTGAAGCCACGGCATCGCCAGGCTGCAAATAAAAAGCTGCTTGGATCCCCAAAATGGGCAGTGGTGATCTGGATTTTGGGGGGAAGGATGGGTTTGATCCCCTCGGGAAGGGGAGGATCCCTGCCCCGGGGACCATAGATCTGTGCTGTCACACACTAAAGGAAACCAAGAGAAAAGAGAAAACCCCACTTCCTCCACTCTCAGGAGATTCATTATGTGTCTCTTCACTGTGCAGCCAAGGTGGAGGGACTCCTCCGCATGCTCTCGAGGCAGATTAACACTGGTTATTTTTAGCAGAAGACAAGGATGAATAAAAATATCCCCTGCTTTATTTTAATTTCTTTTTTTCTCTCTTTCAGGAACACTGCTCTCACCTCACTCTAGGTGCTTGGGAGCCAGCAGGGCAGGTTCCTTGGCTTTTCTCCCTGCTTCCAGACTTTCCCCAAGACTCCCTGTCCTTTTGGGGCTGGGCTCAGGGCTGGGGCAGGACATGTGTGGCCAGCTGGAGGGCGAGGGGGAACAAGCAGTACCCCTGGCAGGAGTCACAAAGCCGAACGGGATTATTTATGGAACAGATTTCCTCC